GTGGTGGTGCACACCTGTAATCCCAGCACTCAGGAGGCTGAGGCAGGAGGATCACTGTGAGTTCAAGACCAGCCTGGGCTACACAGTGAGTTCCAGGTCAATCTCAACTACATAGTGTGACCCTGTCTCAAAAACAAACAAATAAACAAACAAAAGAATTACACAATCATGGTGGCACACACCTATAATCACAGCACTGGGAAGGCTGAGGCACAAGGATCTTCGTGAGTTCAGGCTAGCCTGAAGTACATACTGAGATCCCATCTCAAAAACAAACAAACAAAACCACACACACAAAAAAACACCCCACCAAATAAAGAATTACACAATCAGAAGTTGGTGTTGGTGGTGCCTGTAACAGAATCATTTAAGAGGATCAGGCAGGAGGATTTCAAGTAACAAGGCAGCCTGGTTATTTATTTGCAGAACCACTGAGCTAAATCCCTGGCCTGGTCTGGGTAATTTAGCAAGACCGTCTCAAAATAAATTTTTCAAAAGGGCTGGGGTGAGATACGGTGGCACATGCCTCTAATCCCAGTACTATGGAAGGCTAAGACAGGAGAATCACAAGTTTGATTCTAGCTTGGCCAATTTAGCAGTTTAGCAAGAACCTATCTGGGGGTAAGAAATGGGTAGTGAGACCTAGGGATGTAACTCAGTGTGAAGGTCCTAGGTTCAAGAACCAGTACTGCAAAGAAAAAAATCTCCAAGAAAAAGAATTAATAGTCATATAGTATGTTACCATCTTAAAGACCACCAGGCACAAAGGTTAAGTCTGAGGCCCTAGGTTCAAGATCCAGTACTGCAAAGAAAAAATCTCCAAGAAAAAGAATTATAGTCATTTAATTGTTATCATCTTAAGGACCACCAGGCACAAAGGTTAAGTCTGGAGTTTCTGTGGCAGGAGAAAAGAGAGGAAGAAAATAGAATCATTTACTCTAGAATAAATGAAGCCTAACAAATGAAACATGCCCCTCTTATTTTAAAATACATGTATAAAAATACATATATAATAATTGGTGTTTCTTTAATACAAGTCTGTTAAATTTGACAAAGTAGTATTCAGGACTGTATATGACAAATACTTTCTAAATTGTTAGTTTGGGGGTTCCTAAAAATGGAACACACATTCCACCACCTCAAACAGATTACTGAATAAAATAAAAACTGGGGGCTGGGGATTTAGCTCAGTGGTTCCACCGCCTGTCTCACAAGCGGAAGGTCCAGAATTAAATTCCTGGTACCAAAAAAAAAAAAAAAAAAAAAAAAAAAAAAAAGGAAAAGAATAAAACTAAGAAGAGAAGAGGAAAAATGTTATGCACTATGTACCAACTCCCTATGAGGAATATATACTCATGTACTGGAAACAATAATTTTTTTAAAAAAATTACAGATAGTGAATTGCAATAGTTTTAAGCTTCTGATATTGTGTAAGTTTTTATGTTATGCATATCACACAAAAGGCACTCTTAGGCAGGCATGGTGGCATACATCTGTAACCCCAGCACTCAGGAGGCTGATGCAGGAGGATTACCAAGAATTCAAAATTGGGCTGGGTGTGGTGGTGCATGCCTATAATCCCAGCACTTGGGAGGCTGAGGCAGGAGGATCACTTTGAGACCAGCCTGGGCTACATTGTGAGTTCCAGATCAGTCTCAACTACATAGTGAGATCCTGTCTCAAAAAACAAACAACAAAAAAATGGTCTGGGGTATACAGTGAGTTCAAAGCTAGCCTGAACTGGGACTCATATTTCAAGAAAATAAACAAAAAGGTACTCTCATATTCTGACTCTAAAGTCCTACCATGCTATTAGGTAGATAATGCAGGTTCTACGCCAAAGTTACTATCAAGAAAAAATAGGCAGGCATAGTAGCTCATGGGATCGCCACAAGTCTGAGGCTAGCCTGAACTACACAGGTTAGTTCGAGGCCAGCCCACACTGTAAAGTGAGACCCTGTCTCAAAAAAAAAAAAGTTACTTTCAAAGAAAAAAACTTGTTAAATATTTTAAATCACTACTGCTTTATTCAGCAGTTATACAATAAAATTTCAACTTGTTCCACAGGAAATTCAGTTCAGAGGTATTCTGCATCCAAAAACCATCCTACTTTGTCATTTGAGTAACTGACCCGTAGAGGAAAAATTCCAAAAAGTAAATTCAGAAGTTCCCTCAAGATCAAGAAAATGGACTAAAAGCAAAACCAGAAAAGATTTTACAATATGCAGCAAAGTCAGAGCAAACTACCTTTACCCAACACACATCCATAACCTCCAAATCTAAGAAACATGACTACAGATTATTGAATAACCAAAAAAGCAAGGTGAATTTTTTAAAAATCTAGAAAGTAATACAGGTCTGTACTACAGGAATTGCTGCAAACTATGTCATGGTGAAAAGATCAGTTAGAATCCTGTTAACGTCTCAAAGTTAAAGGAGTTATACCATATTGTGAAAAACTTAAAAGAATAACTCCCACTACCTTCAGACAATTATGCCAAATACAAAGACGAGTTTTACTGGAAAATAATTACATTAAATGTTCAAAGACTGATATTTGATGAGTGAAGAGCAGTACAGAAAGTTCTGTTAATTTTTAACTGCAGCCATAGTGGAATATACTGAAAGCCTTGTTTTAAGACAAAAACAGTGAAATAAAAGTGTCCATAGATTTGCCTTTTAAAACAAATATACTAATAAAAGTCAATACAATAAGGGACAAAATGCAATTGAGCAAATTTCTCACACAAAACTAAAATGTAAACCCTGCTTTAAGAATTTTCAGGGGACTGGGAATTTAGCTCAGTGGTTCTGCCATCTGCCTCACAAGCCCCAAGGTCCTGAGTTCAATCCCCGTACCAAAAAAAAAAGAATTTTCATACATTTTTTTACATGTCAGAACTAAAGTAAAAGGGCTGGGGATATAGCTCAGTGGCAGTGTGTGCAAAGTCCTATTTCAATTTCCCAGCACTAATAAAGGGGAAAAAAACGCTTCTGAGTGGTAGATTTAGAAATCTAATATAAACAACAATGAAATGAAGATTAAGACTTTTTATAAACAAAGACTTCAGTTAAAAGCCTTTATCTTAAATCAGTATATACTACAGGAAATCCTTCCATTCTACCAATTCCAAACTGAGGTTTTGCCTTAGTTCCCCATTACCTAGGCAAAAATATTACACTTTGCAATCCATTATTTTCTTTCAATTTTTTTTTAAAACAAATTGCACTGGAGTGAAATTATTCTCACTAGTAACCATTTGCCTCAACCATCAGCTGTTCCACATATTTTGGGGGGAATTAAACTTTACTCAGCTGAAATTAGATTTTGCTAAACAATGCTTTGTGAGAAAAATCAGCGCACAAATTCCATTTAATGCAGTATTCCCAGTATCTATAAAATATTCAGCCCTGAAGAATTCACCTCAACACAGACACAGTAATATCCTTTCAAATTTGTCCTTAATTATTTGTACCTTTACTTCAGTTTTAAATATCTGCATCTGAAAAGTAAAGTGAAAGATGAAGCAAACGGTAAGGGTACTGTTCTTACATAATACTGTAAAAATGTGCTTTTACTGGTATTCACTGTCAAGTGTGGATATTAAACATTCCCTTATCAATCCCAGTCTCTAAAAGTTGACCCAATTTAAGGCCTGGAGTTTCTACCTTTAGAAGGGTAGAAAACAAGAGTTAAGTAATTGGGTAGTCCTAAAAATACACATCACAACTACATGACTAAGATACTCATTTGAAACTTGTGCCAAGATAACCCCTCCCTTCAAAACAAACTAAAATTGACTCACTGGCCTATTTTACTTAATTTTGGAAATAAAAAAAGAAAGGATTCCTAAGCACTCATTTCTCCTGTCTGCCTCTACAATTTAAAACATTCAAATCTTCAATCTGGGATTCCTCGCTGTGAAAATACTAAGTCAAAACAAAGGGGGAAAACCTCAGCTATCTCCAAGTTAGGTAACTACCTTGAAGTTCAAGAAATAAAAAGAAAGAAACCTGGATTCCGTAGTATTTCATAGCCACTGTTCTAAAATCATACAAAACAACAGAAACAACGACTCCGGTCGCTGCCTAAAGAACAATCCCACCAAGACAATCTCACCTCGGATGACACTTTTCATCTGTGAAATGACCCTATTCGCTGGAGTTAACCACCTGAGCAAAAGCTTTCAATTTTGTCTTCCTAAAGTGGGAAGCAATCAATCTCCCTACATGACATGTTCCACCCTTTGTGAACGTTTTTACATGTAGAAAAAAAATGCTAGTAAACTTGGTGGCGGGGTGAGGACAAAGGGCATTTTGAAAGAAGCACTGACTGAGGTAAATGGAAAATGAGGACAGAAAGAGGGTTAAATTAAAGTCCCCTCAACTGCTAATACTAAGACAACGTAAGGACCGCTCCTCTTTTATTTATTTATGTACCACCTCTACGGGTTCTTTTCATTACCGCCCACTGGAATGCAAAGTTGGAACTACCCCTACCCAAGAAGCCCAAGGAATCCTCAAAGTGTCAAGGCACGGGCAGCCAATGGAATGACCAACTAATTCCCCTCCCCCATCCTACCCCCCAAAACAGAAAAGTCCAATAAGTGCAGGTCACTCTGCCCTCTGGGGCAGTTCCAGCCTGCACAGGGAAAGCTCAGAAGTGAGGTCGACTGAGGAAACAGACCACCTCTCTTTCCACACACCTCATCTGGGGAAGCAAAACAAAGACAGCCCTCCCTCCCCGGCAGACACTAGCCTAGCCAGCGAGGCTTTTCTATTTCCCGGTGTAGTCTGGCCTCCCGCCCCCGCCCCATGACAAAGAAAAGGGACTCGGTGAGCGAGGCCTTCCTGACTCCACGGATGGGGGAGGGGGCTGTGAGGTGAGGCGCCCCCTCCACTAACCCGCTCTCACACGCTCGGCCCCGAAAACAACCCCGAAGCGGCGGAGAGCCGAGGCCTAGCCGGGGGACGCCGGGTCCGGGAAGGGGTGGGGGTACCTTGAAGTAGCCGCCTTCGTAGAGGGTGTTGGGGGGTCCGAAGATGGCCACCTCCCAGTTGTAGAGGTCGGACTCATCCACCAGGGTGATCCGGAAGCCCTCCACCGGCTCCTCCTGGAGGGATTTCAGCTCCAGCATCAGGGCCTTCTGCGAGCTGGTCATCTGCTGCTGGGCCATCGCGGCGGCGGCGGCCGAGCTGGG